CATTAGCAGCGTCCCACAGTTACTGTTTCCTCAAATGCCACTCAAGCCCTCAACTGCCCTAATTCCCCCCAGATGTGTCTGGCAGGTGACCAGCCATCTGGCTGCGTTTGCCACGCGAGGCTTTGAGTTGTGCTACGTACAGATGCCTCCTTCCCCACCCACTGCTGCCAACTTTCCTCTGCCACCCTGGAGTGCTGCACTCTCTGCATTTTACTACCCAGTCCCTCCCGTTGGGGGGTGCTGAGGTCCCCAGCCTCTGTCAGAGCCAACTCACAGGTAATGGTGCTCTGGATGGTGCTGTCATGATCAAAAGCAATGACGGTGACCTCGTAGGGCTGAGGGCCAGATTCCTCCCCCGTCTGGCGGCAGTGAAAGCAGCATCTCACGCAGACAGAAACCAGGCCACACAGGAGCAGCAACCCACCAATTGCCACCACCAGCCTGGGAAGGAAGAGGACACAGAATATGGACAGAATGACTTTGTTTGCAGGGGACCTTTTAGGATGCCTCCCTGCTTGAAATAGAGGCAACCTCAAAGCTAGACATGGTCATTTGGAACCTTGTCCAGCAGAATCTGGACAGTCTTCAGGAATGGAGATCCTGTGTCCCCTCTAGGCATCCATTCCAGTGCTGCACCACTCTTGAGGAGAGGAGTTTTTCCTTCTGTCTAATCAGAATTTCTCTGGATTCAACTTGGCCAGTTGCCTCAGGTCCTCCTTCTAGGCATCTCTGAGGAGGCTCTGGCTCTTATCTTCTCTCTAGATCCTCTTTAGGTAGAAAACTGCAATTAGGTTGCCCCCCTTGCCCTCCTACAGGCTGAACAAACCCAGTCCTTTCAATCCCCTCTCACAGAGCATGTCCTCTGGACCCCTGACCATTTTATTGGCTTGCCAATGGATTGCTCCAGTTGGACGACATTTCTCTTTTACTGAGGGACCAAGACTGGACTAGGACTGGACTACGTATTCCAGATGTGTCTTCATGAGTGGCAAGCAGAGAGGAAAAACTGTACTCTTAATCTACTGGCTATAGTCTTATTAATGCAGCCTGAAATTACTTTAAAAATCGTCCTCTTTAAAGACAAATTGTTCCATGAATGCTTTATTAATGTTGTTCACCTGAGTAAATTAATATGTGGAGTAAAAAAAAGAAGCTGGCAAGTCAACATTTGTTAAAGATGATGAGACAGCTAAGGGGTTGCCTTGCTACTGTTGAGCATTAATATCCCAGGGGAAAGCAGGGGTAACATCACACTTGTGTGGGTGACACTGAATCCCAGTCTCTGCTAATGGAATTGTCCAGTGATGCAGATATTTAAATTAAGCATATGCCTTCTTACCAGATATACCACAAACGATCCCACTCTGTACCTGAGCAGCTGAGGAGAAAAGGGTACAACTTATGGTTAGTGACATAATACCAAGTAAATGGGAAGACCCCTCCTGCATCCTCTTCATGCTCCCCTCAGGCTCCTCAATTACAGTCCAGCTTCTAAATGACACAGTAACGAGAAACAACCTGTGCTTTGTGGAGGAAATAGTTGTCCCACCTAGTCAATCTCACTATTAGGTGACTTTGCCTTCTCTTTGGCTTTCTCCCTTTTCTGTTCCCCTGATATTTGTGTCTACCCAATTCTATTTGCAAACCTGAGGCATCTGCATAACGTTGTTATTCCTGAAATTCCCTTCTTTTATGTATTTTTTTTCAGAATGCAGTCTGCCCAATTCTGTTTTCTTTTGCTTTGTTTTTTCTGACTTTCTCTTTTATTTCTTTCTGGCCCCATGGGTACATTTTGGATGCTGTGTTGTATGTTCCTTTAGTTTTAGTAGCTGTGCTTTTTAAAAGACATTTCTTAGTCAAAAGGAATCCTCCTAGGAAACTTTTCACATTTCTTTTGTCTTGATTTCCGTTATTCTTACAAATGACATCATTGAGAGAAATATTCACAAAAACATTAACTTTCAATTAAAGGTCAGTACAAAATCTATAATCTCAGTCAATAAAATTACTCCAGAAAGCTCCCAACCATTACAGTTATCCAAGTAAGTAGCAGGAACAGTGCCACATGATCAGGATGTTGAAAATATAGTAAACAATACACTTCACATTCAATTTTTGTGTGAGTTTTCAATGGTCACAATTAGAGTAAGCTTTTCTGGAAAGTCTCAGCCACAATGTCATAACAGTGATGTCTACTATTGCCTTTATCCTTCATTGTCATATTAAAAGAGAGCAAGATCAACAAATACTCACAGCTCAGTGTTGAGACAGCTTTCCTCACCTCTCACTTGGGGCAACTAGAAGGATAAAAATAAACAAGACACAGCTGGAGGAAATTAAGTATTTGTCATATGCATCTCTGTGATCTGGATTTTTACCAGTGTGAATCTCCTGTCTTACTGTCAAGACTTACTGTCCTCTGTCTTCTGTTGTTTCTTCTGATGTAGATTTGACACTTCCATGATACCAGTCACATTGTTTCTTATCTTAACTTTCCATGGTCGTTAAAATCCTACTTAGCACTGTTCCCAGCAAAGACCCTAACTTGCTTCACCTTCACCACAGGTTTCCCATTCTCCACCACAAGCTGTGTCATGCTACTGCTGTAGGTCCTTCTCCATTCTCAAATATTACAAAGCTTTACATGTCCTGCTTCATATTATACCCACACTGACTTGAATTCTGCTCTGTCCCTCCAGCACTCCTACCCTTCTCATTACTCTTCCTTTGGCACCTTGACCTCTGTGGTACCACTCCTGGAATAGCAGAAAATATTATTCTCTTCTGCACGTCTGCTTTTTATATGCCCAGTTCTTTCTAATATCAGGGAAATTATTGTGACTGTAAATAGCTTTTGCTTCTCCATCTTTCCAAGGTAACTCTGTAACAGAGCAGAGACCCCATAAAAAGAAACTTGAGGTGTGACTTACCCATAAGAAACACCATAATACAAAGCAGATCATAACTGGTTTATACATCCCCATAGGATGGTTCTGTAGCGTCTTTGTGTCTCAAACTGCTTGATGTCTTCTTGTCTTTTCTAGTTTCAGTTCATTGTCACCAGTCCATTGACCAGGATAAGGAGCAGATTCCTTGTTGTGTGTTGAATCCAATCTCTTCTGCCTGCTCTATCTCTGTCCTCCTCTGGATCTGACCTTCTCTGCTGTTCAGGTTTCTTCTGCTTTCTCTCCTTCTTTGTCACTGGCAATTCCTGTTTGCTTCTGTCTGTCTCCTGTTACTCTCTTGACCTGCTTCTCTCCCTCTTCTGAAAGGATCTCTAAAGCCTTCCAGTCAGATCAGGAGAAGAGCGGTGGCTACCAGTTTTTCCTTCAGATGTTGAACTAGTTCCATGAAGGGTCTCTGTAGACCTGACTCTTCCCTTCTGTCACAAGAAAAGGTCTCTGAGTTTGTTCATTCCCAGTTTTTCCTCTCCCCACCCCTACCCTGAGGGGAGTGGGTTGAAGGTCATGTTGTTGACCTGTTTAAATGGAGTTCATGTTCTTCTCCCTCCTCCAGTACTGTTCCTGTCCCTGCACTTGCATTGTCCTACCTCTGTGGATGCAATCTATTGACATCCAGAGTATATGTTACAAGCAGCATGTTCCTGTTGAAGTGAAAGACTTTGCAATATAGTAACTATATACAGTATTGTATATGTATGTATCTATAAGTATACAAATGCAATATTTATATACACATATATGCAACACTGCATCTTCCATTTTAAGGCTCTTCTGCCATCCCTTGTACCCAGTAGCTTCCTGCCATGTCAGTCCTGCAACTGAGTGTGCCCACTCACAGGTCCAGCTCCTGAAATTCCTGCACAAACAACCAAGTCCTCCCAAAAACTTTGCATCACAAGGCATAATTTTTTTACACTCCTCTCCTGAATATTATTTATCCTGCTGCTGTAGGCACCTTTTAATGATCTGATCATTTTCTCTCTCTTGTAGAACTGCTTTAGATTTCTGTTGCTGCTCATGGCTATTCAGAATGTTATTACATGTGTGTAGTTGTGTTCCCCTTCTTTTTCTCTTTTGAGTAGTTGAAATAGAAAAAATGCACTGCAGTAATGTGTTACTATTTGTGTTTGAGCACCACCTGAGACTGGTACACAAATATATGTTAAGGGCAGGATAGAAGCTAGAGAAACTTGTTGCCCTATGTTGCAGTCACAATGCATTCACATTAAACTGGTGAATCATTAGCCTTGGTGAGTTGCAGAGCAGAACCAATGGATTCATGAACATAATGTATTCTCTCAGGGCAGGCTAAAAACCATTTACCATTCTCTCATTATAAAAGCAGTATAAGCATGACTTAGCATGCACCCATCCATCCTAGTCTGCTACTGTCAGAAGCTTTCTGGGTTCTGGTGGACAAAAAACAAACACAGAGACATGACCTATTGGCTTTGTATTTACATGGGAATTGCCCAATATTCTTTTTGCCTATTTCTCCCTAAATTATTTTATGTATTATAGGAGTTTTAGAAGAGAAGACCCTGCAGAACTGTAAAATAGCCTTTCTTGTATGTACAGCTTTTAAAACTGGTGGGATTCAATGTGGCAAAGAAGTGCAAATTACCAATGCTTTTCAGGACTTTTTATTAGCAGTGTGATAATTCAATAGTTTATCACATGATTTTTAACTGAATTTCAGTCTCATGAGAATTTAATCAACTAGAACCAACTGGAGAAATATCAGAAAAAAAAATAATAACAAAAATCTCCAAAGAAAAGGCAGCAGTGTGACATGAAACAATAACCCCTCCAACATTAAATCATCACTCATTCTTGCTGAAACTTAGTGATTTCTATTTCTATGGCATTGTCATTAATACTGTGCTTCCAGTAACCCACCTATGGCCCTGCTGGCCTATCATCCAACCATGGTTTATCTTTGTAAATGTCTACATTTGAATTTGGCACAAGCCAGAAGATACTTCAAAGAGTCAAGTGTGCTGTGCTAGCTGTTCACATCTAGCATCAAGCCCTGACATTCCCAGCTGGCACTGGTTTGTTACAATATAAAATTGGCATGTGAACTAAGAGCAATGAATATGGTTGGACCAATAGTTGGGACTCAGTTCCCAGAAATCTCAGAAGTATTTTCTCTGGCAGATCTTTTTGCCGCTTGTGATTGTTTCAGTCTCCAGTGAGAGAGTTCCCCAAATGGTGCCAGAGTAAAAGAAAAATACAGCATTTCTGGCTACAGTATTACTCAGGGTCCCAACAGGCAACTAAGAGAATATTGTGAAAGAAAAGAGTAAAAGTGCAGCTGTCAGAAAGGTATTATATTTCACAGCATTGGGCTCATCATCTTTTACACTGGCTGCCCATCACTATCTGATGCCTGCACACTGAATCCACAGCAAGTATGAAATGCTACCAGAAAAGTGTAAGCATAAATTGTGTTGTAAAACATATAGCAGGGAAGAGCTGGTCCTTATATTAAGAAGAATTTAAAAATAAGTTCACATGAAAAGAGATGTGCCCGTATGACTGAAAATCTAGGTTTCCTTTTACGTCCACCTAGATCCATGTCTGAACATGGCTTAACTTTTAAAAATTGGTTCTATTTATGTTTTACTTCCACTCTCTAAGTATGCTGGTCTGATCAAAATAATAGTTATAACTTGTTTTTCTGATATTACTTTAAAAATGTTTATCTGGTTTTGGGACAACTGGGTTCATCACGTCTCCAATGTAGATGTCAATTCAGCAGCAGAATGAAGGAGGAACTGTTACCTCTCTGTGATACAGAGGCTGTGGGCTGCTGTGGTGATCCTGCAGGGATTCACTAGACCACTAGAGACTGTCATCACTGACAAACCTGATCCCAGGCTCTGTTGTTTTCAAGGACACAACTGGCTGCATTATGGGGAAAACTGTTACCTCTTTTTAAAGGAATGGAAAACTTGGCAAGAAGGCAAGTCTCAGTGCTCTTCTTTGGAGTTCAGACTTCTTAAGATAGAGAGTAAGGAAAAGCTACTAAAGATAATTTTTATCTCTCTCCCCACTTACATACTCTGTGCTTTACTGTGGCCTGAGCAGCCATACCATCCTTCCACTGGTGCTGCATGTGCATGACCCTTTTGAAGCCCCTCTACCTGTATGAGGCTGCACCCTCTATCGTGCATTTCCACTGACTTCAGCAGTTTACTGAGACACACCAGCCTGGGTCTGCATCTAGATTCTCATCCCACCTCAGGGCAAATATAACTGAGCTAGTACAGGTTGGCAACACTTTTGTTGTCTTGCTGGAGCAAACTACTCAGCAAACATCAGAAGCCTGGCCTTATGCTTCTTTCTGTGCACAACTACTCCCCGGCCTTTTCTCCCACATAAGCAGAAGATGATGCATACAATTTTCTGACTTCTAAATTGTCGATGAAGCAGCAAATAAAGTATAGCCAGTTTCTGCTCTGAAGAAATTTCTACCCAGAGCCTTAATGACAATGGAATTATGTCTTTTCCTCTGTGATTTTATGTTTTGTATTTCGAATTCCCTGTGTACCAGGATAGCAAATGATGCAAAGGCTTTTTCCTGCCTGACTTATGCAACCAGGGTGTTGGAAGGAAGTCACTGCACTATACCCATTACCCAACAGAAGTGCAGGCTTCAGTTTCCTCAATTGTTTTATCTGAAAGTACTGACAGCTCTCAACAGGTTCATTTTCCTTATCTCCAAAATAGCATGGACTGACAGGAGTAGGAGGCACTGCCCAGATTCACTTGAAAAACAAAGTTTGTTAGAGATAGGTATGAGCAGTTTGCTTTCATTTGCCTCTCTCCTTTCCCAGATGGTAGAGGCATGGATGGGATTCACAGGCTTTGCATTGATTTCCATACAGGACTTTATAATACAGTCTACATGGTTTTACACTTCTCACTTTCTGGGTTGGACTGTCTCGCAATGGATTTGAGGGGCCCTGGCTGTGGGAGGATGGATCAGCGTTCTCCCCTGATCTGTAAGTTGTGAGAGCTGGAAGCAGCAACCTTGAACTGCCACTTGGTAGTCACCTAAGTCCTGCCTGCTTGCCAGCAGGAAGGTAACCCATCACTCTAGCTTATCAACTTGGGCAAGCCCCCCTCAGAGAGCTTGTGTGCTGTTGGTCACATGGATAGCAGCAGTCAGGAATTATGTCAGCCTGTGACTTTTTCCATGGTATGATGAATATGTCTACTATTTTTTTTTTCCCACAGGTTTCAGATACAATGAGCCAGTTCAAGTCCTTCCCTAGATTGTGTGCGACTTCAAGGTGCAAATAATCAACACTGCAAAGTGTGGTGAGTACCAATTTTACATTTGTGAGAAAGTGGTGGATATTGCAGTGGTCAAGCAAGTGAGCTACTTGGACAGACACTGGTGTGTGAGGCTCTGTGGAAAGCCCTGTCCTAGAATTCACCATTGTGAGGGCAAGTTCTGCCCCAGGGTTCACAACAGAGTAAACAAGTCTGAGCTAAGGTGAATGTAACAACAAGCTTAACTTGCCCCCTGGTGATGCACATCAGCCAGACTCCTGGGGCTTTTTCTTCAACAACTTCATTCCCCCTTTCCTTACTCAGCCTTTTAATTTTTTGTGTAACCAATATCAATATGCATTTATAAAAGTAATACATCATGTTTTCAAAGTTCATCCATTGGTTACTCACAGATGTGAACTCGCAGTTTACGATAAATTTCCATGTATTTTATTTAATTTCACTCCCCACCTACAGATAACTAGAAAGTGCAAAAGAATCATACCCTGCACTAAAAGACAAAAATAGTTATAGTTCTCCTGGTTAGAAAGAACTGTAGTTAGAGTTCTAGTTATAACCAGAGAACTGGTTAGAATTCTGATGGGATTGTATGCCCTATGGGCTCAAGAAAACAGAAGGCAAATGCAGAACTTATTTATTGGAGAAAGCTGGCAATATCTGATGCCCAGGGATGCCAGTCCAGCTCCTAGTGGATTGTTCTGCTGTGTTAGGCATCA